ACAACTTGCACTTATATAGCATCCTCATGCAGGGCAACATCTTAGAGCGCTTAACAATGGTGGAGCCTGACTCCGAGCTGTGGGGTTGGGGGGTGGGGGTGTGTGACTGTAAGCCATGGTCGCAAAGGAAGATTTTAAGGTGGGACTTGAAAAAGGGCAGAGAGAGAGAAAGGTGAAGAGATTGAGGGAGAATGTTCCAAATTTTGGGGAGGAGTAGCTGAAAGCACAACCTCCAATGGTGGGGCAGATGGTGTGAGGGACGAGCAGGAGCCGGTGCCAGTCAAGAGGAGGCGCTGGGTTGTGGATTTGGGGAGTGAGGAGGTTGGAGAGGGAGGAAGGTGCCAGGGAGTGATGGGATTTGAACACGAGAGTGAGGATCTTGAATTCGATCAGTTCGGTGATGAGGAGCCAGTGGAGCCCAGGCCAGAACTGGGGAGATGTGGGGATGGAGTTTGGTCCAGGTCAGTATGTGGGCAGCAGAGTCTGAATGAGCTGATCTTTTGAATAGTGGAGCTGGGGAGACCAGCGTAGAATGTGTTGGAGTATTCCGGGCGGGAGGTGACAAACCCATGCACGAGGGTTTTGACTCCATTTGGGGTAAGGTAAGGTCGGAGGTGGGCAATGTGGCGGAGATGGAGGAAGGCAGTTTGGTCAGGGACCGAATGTGGGGGAAGAAGGGAAGCCGGGGATCGAACTGGATGCCTAGATTGCGCACTGGTTCAGTGAGTCTGAGGGAGAGTCCAGGGAGGTTGAAGAATTTAGATCTGCAGGAGTGAAGACATTGACAGGAGCCAAGGAGTATGGCTTCCATCCTGTCTACATTCAGCTGCAGGATGTTTGCACTTATACAGGCCTTGATGTCTGCCAGACAAGCTGATAGTAAATCGGCGAACCTGGAGTTGGTACTGGAGGAGGCAAAGTAGATTTGTGTGTCATCCACAAGTTTACCCCGTGTCTGCAGATGATCGCCGGGGGAGTATCTATATAAGGAAAAGAACAGGCCATGGATGAAGTCCTGGGGTACCCCACAGGTGTATGGGCAGGGGCAGGAGGAGAAACCATTTGCCGAGATGAAATGGAGGCAGTTGGTTAAGTAGGACTCGAAACAAGCAAGTGCGCTTCCACTAAGGTGGATGAGGGAAGAGAGCTGATGGACGAGGATGGCGAGGTCGACTGTGTCGAACGTGGCAGAGAGATCCAGAAGGACGAGGAAGCAGAGGGAGCCCTGGTCACAGATAGAGAGGATATAGTTTGTGACTTTGACAAGTGCTGTCTCTGCGCTGTGGCAGTCAGGGCGAAAACCAGAATGCAGGGGCTCGAGGAGGGAGTGGAGGGAGAGGTGTGACCGAAGTTGACCTGCAACAATGCGTTCCAGGACTTTGGCACGGAAGAGTAGGTTGGAAATGGGACGGTAGTGTTAGAGATTAGAGGGATCAAGGGTGGGTTTTTTGAGGAGGGGTGTGATAACGGCAGTTTTCAGGGGAAGTGGAACAGAGCTTGAGCAGATAGACTGGTTGACCGTGTCGGCCAGCAGGGGGGAGGGGAGGGGGTGTTGAGTGACCAGCAGCTGGATGGGGAGCGGGTCGAGGCAACAGGTGGTGAACTTCATCCGAAACAAACTTGGTGCGTTTAATTTCACTTTCCAGTATATTCTGTGAAGCGCTTTGAGACGTCTCAAAGACATGATAAGGTTCCAAGTCAAATGCAAGGATTCTTCTTCTTATTATTATTACATTTCTGCAATTGGTAGACAAATGGTCAAAGCAGTTGCCCGGCTATTTTGCAGTAGTTGCCCGGCTAAATCAGAAGTTGCATAAATATCGCAAACATCCGTGAGACATTGTTTGTTTGTCTATTTAGGCCGTTGCTTTAAGGTGAGTTTTGGTCTTAAAATAAGCATGTATCTTTCTGTTTTAGCTGCAGCACTGGCCAAATAGATGAATGGCAAAGTTCCTGTGGTGTGCACTGGTCTGTCCCGCTAGCTGGGCAGATGTGTCACCAGTCCAGCTGTGGAACTCCGGGAAGACAGCGCATTGTGTTGTGCCCAGCTGTGCAGCGAATCTCCGCACTCTGGACTTTCCTCTCTCTCTTTGCGCTTGTGTTTTTTTCCTCTGTTGACTCGGATATCATCGTTGGAGCCTTGAATCTCGAGAACGCCTTGTTGTTGTTTTTTTCTTCCGCTCTTTCTTCCTTTTGGTCAAGAGCCTTTTTCTGAGGAGCTTTTCTTTCCAAATTAAAGCCTTGTTCTGCGTGATTTTTTTCAAAAAAACACCTCTTCCAGGATTGGTGAAGATTACGCTACAATTTCCTCATCCGAATTCTCCAACACAAGGTAGGCACATCTCTTTTTTTTTCATCTGCATTGGCTCCTATTGTGCTTTATTGACTGTGGATTAATGGTGGGTTGTGTGTGGCTCCTTGGGTTTAGTGTCTGTGCGTTGCAAAACCATTGCTCTGATGAGATACTGTATATGAATCCATCATTGGTCTCTTAATGTGTTCGTTACAATGGTTGGATAAGTCTTACTAAGGAGATTTTTATCTTCCTTTGGAGGTTGAACTTTAAAAGCCATATCCGAGAATAGAAAGCTTTGCTTGTTTGCCAAAGTTGACAGATTGTATTCCAAGTGGCAAATATAATCTTAAATCCCAATCGGTTTACAAGATGGGTTTGTAAGAAGAAGGAAGAAAATCCTTTAGCCCATTTGAACTCATCCTTTCCTCCTCCCATCACAGCAACACGCTGTTTCAGTCTAGAAACAATCCGGTGTCGCAACTAGAGCACAATGTATAGTTCTGGTCATTGCATTTATAAGAAGGCAAAGAGCATTTCTTCTAGGAGAAACGAGAATTGTATTGGCATGATACGCTGTTTTATCTTGTACTGAACAGTAGAACCAGAGGACGTGGCCTGTGATTGATGGGGGATAAATTCGGAACGAATCTGCGAAAACACTACTTCGGTGAGCGAGTAGTAAACATATGGAGCGGGCTCACCAGGGGGACAGATGGTGGAAGCAGAAAGTATTGATTCATTCAAAAACAAATTAGACAGATTTCTGTTAGGAAATAATATCTCGGGATATAATTATATAGTTTGGGGCATAACTTGTCCTGCAACTGCGAGGATGGTGGATGGCAAACTGGATGGGCCTTGGTCTTTTTTCGCCTAGCAATTCTTTCGCTTAGCAATTCTGAAAATTATCCTCTTCGACCGTGCTTATGGCCACCTCCCCCCCTCCCCCTGCCTCGGAGTCAGGCTCCGCCACTGCTAAGCGCTCTGAGATGCTACCCTCCGAGGAGGGAGCTATATAAGTGCAAGTTGTTGTTGTTATGTTCTTATGTTCTATTACATTATTTAAAGTATGAAATAAGGATAGTGTCCTCCTTAAGCACCAGCTAATCAATCTACTTTAACAGTCAGTCATGATTGGAATCAGTGGGTTAGGTGTGGCTCAACTCGAGGGAACTGTTATGAGCAGAAAACACGTTGAACTAATATTGAACTAACAGTTTGGAGTCCTGTAATGTATTGGTTAGAGCACTCGCCTTGCAAGTGAGAGGACCCAGATATGATTCAGGGTCAAGGCAAAACCTTAGTCAAGTTTCCTTTCTCCACATGACTCTGTTTGGCGGTAAGTAGGAACCCTGTTGTTAGTTGTTAGTCGATTTGTGGATTGCAATAATTTGGTAATTTGGTCGCTCAATCCACGATTGTTTGTGGGACAATTGCTGACAATTGCTGTGTGCAATTGGCTGCCTCATTTCGCCCATAAAATATACAGTCAATTCACTTTACATGTATTCTGTGAAGCGCTCAAGGCGCCATAATCAAATGCAAGGATTATTATTAACTACCCGACAGATTATTTTTACCCCCCAAAAACTCAACACTTTTCCACTTTGAGCTCCTGGCTTCAGTAATGATCATTCCCACCTGAGATATACAACACAGTCAGATCCAGGGTAAACTTCCCTCTACTCTTCCCCAATAATGCATCCGAATCCCATTTTCACTAGAAGAATCGGTAGCTGCTTTCCGGTGCAGTAAACAGTGACTTAATAATAATAATATTAATAATAATCCTTGCATTTGACATAACACCTTATCGCGTTGTCAGAATGTCTCAAAGAGCTTTGCAGGCTTTTTATTGTGAAGTATAGTGACTGTGTATTTTGTAGACAAACACAATTTGCTCACAGCATTTTCCCACAGACAATCATGAAGTGAATGACTATATTTTTTCTCTCTGGAGGATTGTTGGTCCAGGACACCTTGAGAAACTCCCTTCTCTTTTTGAATAACACCATGGGATCTTTAACGTCCACCTGAACAGGCAGACCAGACCTCAGCTTAACGTCTCATCAGAAGGACAGCACCTCAGACCATGCATCGATTCCCCAGCACTACACCGGAATGTCAGCCTAGACTGAGCCAAAGTCCCAATGTGAGGCTCAAACCCACAACCTTAGTTGTGGTACACAAGCGAGAAAAGGTCAGAATGGTGATTTACCATGGAGCAGTTTGATACAGGTTTCACACCAGAGATTGGGGAAGGAGGGTAACAGCATATCTCGTGCAGGTTCATTTGACGGACTTAATTGACAAGCCAAGCTGAAAGGTGAGAATAGCCCTTTCTCATTCTTTTAACTGTTAAACCCAGCAATGTTTGCAGAAATTCGACACACACATAAAAGTAACTCTTGGCATTAACAGTTTTGAGACGATTTGACATGATAAGACAAGTATCATTATTATGAAAGGAATCTGCAACATCTACTGTACCAGTGAATTTGTTAGAGGAACAGTGAATGATGCTGCAATTTTTTTCAGATTATCTAAAAAAAGAACAAGACGCTATCAGCACTTACTGAACCCAAGCCATACTGTTGTTTACAGTTAACTGACTTGATTGATGACAGTGTGAGTTTGTTTGAAACGCAATGCAATTTAATTTTTTTCTAATACTCGAGTCAAGTTAAAACTTATTTAAACTTACCAAACACTGTTCTGGCGGGGACAGATTCCCTGTTCAACCAAAATGACACCTGGGATAAGATAACTGTCATAATGCAGGGAAGATAGGTTTGGATGATAAAATAACCAATTTTTCTCTTCAAGTGGAAATTTGCTATCATGACTACATAATCACCTGCAACACAAAGGAAGAAAAGACAAAGAGAAATGAAAGCGGAACATCAGTAAAAATAGAAAGCAAAGGGCGTCATTGCTCCAAGCGCTCAAAATTACAAATTTACATTTATATATTGCTTTAACTTCGGGAGGACATCCCAAGGTTCCAAGATTTGCAACTGAGCTGTGGGTGGGGGTCGAAGGGGTGTGGGTGGGAGGAAAGATGGCCGAAACACCTTTGGAGGCAAGAGGAAGGTTGTGAGGCAGACCTTGAAGGAGGTGAGAGAAACTATTTTCTCTGCTGGGGGAATCCAGAACAAGGGGAATAATCCTAAAATCAGAGCTAGGCCGTTTAGGAGTGAAATTAGGAGGTGTTTCTTTCACCCCAAAGTGTAGTGGAAATCTGGAACTCTCTCCCCCAAAAGGATGTGGATGCTGAATCCATTCACATTTTCAAGATTCGGGTAGATAGATATTTGTTAGGTCAGGGTATTAAGGGACACAGCGCAAAGGGTGGGTAATTGGAGTTAAGGTGCAGATAAGCCGTGATCTTATAGAACGGCGGAACAGAGCTTGAGGGGCTGAATGGCCTATTTCTGTTTCTATGTTTCTAGAAGGGGTGAATTGAAGGGCTTCTAGGATAGAATTTTAAAAAATGGAGCAGATTCACTGAAAAGACCCATTCGTTAACAAACATTTGACAAAAACAAAAGGGAATCTTGCCATTCGCATTATCGCGTTCAATTGGACTACATTATCTTATTCTCAAACGTCTATGGGGAATCTCCTTTGATCTAGACTTACTCTATTTTCTTAACATTTCGGAGCATAGCCGAGGGATTAAAATCAACTTTCAGCAAACAAAGCGCCGACATATCTCCTTTTATATGCAATAAAATGCAATTTAAATGAAAAACAAGTATGGGAAATTAATCATAGTAGGGTTATGAAGGTGTTTGTCTACAAAATAGACAGTCACTACACTCTATAGTACATCCTATGACGCACTTTTGAGTTGTCATAGAGACCTGATAAGCACTCTTTTGAATGAAATGATTATTTATAATGACCTCATTCAACAACAACAACCCTTTAAAACATGGCAAAAAATGTGCGTTCCTGCATTACTTGAATTCTCTCACTTAGTCAAAGAACTATCAAGTCCAGTGTCAGGATGAACAACTTTATGCGTTGTGCTTGAACAAAGGGTGTTATAATCAGTGAGAAATAAAGTGACATGATACCCACTTCAGAATTGGAGACATTATGTCTCAGTCGGGCTCAGTGGAATCACTCTTGTCTCTGAGTGAGAAGGTTTTTAAGTTCAAGCCCCATATCTGAACTCACGGACTAGGCTGTTGTTGATTTATGAAGAATGATCATTCACTCCATAGTCATTAGTGAAACATTGACGTATGCAAATTGGCTTTTCTGCATTTGTATACAAAACACACAATCATTACACTTTACAATAAATCCATTCAAGTGCTTTGAGATGTCCTCCTAATGTGAAAGGCTTTGCATGTTGTGTATGATCAATATTCTTATAATTCCACTTAACGTCACTGAAAACAAAATTACTGACATCCATCAGTGAGAAATTAAAGTGAGAAGAATTGATTAATTCAATCATAATTTAGGGATTGTTATGCTATTATTTTAAAGATGATGAAGATAATGATAATGACAATGCCAAGTCAATTATTTTACTTCAAGTTGAGTTTTTCTCAGATCCAGACATGGCAAAATTGGCTATTATACATTACAACAACAAAAACAACAAATTTTGTTTGTATAGCACTTTTCAAGTAATGAGGACATCCCAAGATGCTGGACAGTCAAGGGTTTGCACCCGAATTGGGGGTTGCAGTCCAGAGGGGTTGAGGGCAAGGAGAGATAGGGGTGGGAGGATGTCCGAAGGCATGGTCAAAGAGGAAGGTCTTGAGGCAGGCTGTGAAGGAGGCAAGGGAGGGGCTCCGGGATGGAGTTCCAGAGGGTGGGGAAGGTGGAAAGGCTTAAGGTCTGACCGCTGATGGTGGAGCAGGCAGGGCAGGAGACATGGAGCAGGCCAATGTCCACTAGGCGGAGGGAGTGGGCGGGCTGTAAAAGGTTAATAAGTTGCAGAGGTGGGGAAGAGCAAGACCGTGGTGGGCTTTGATGGCGAGGACAAGGATTTTTAACTGTAACCTCTCCGGGATGGGGAGCCAGTGGAGCCAGGCGAGGGTGGGAGTGATAGGGTCTCGGAGCCTGATGCGGGAGAGGACACGAGCTGCAGAGTTCTCAATAATCTGCAGTTTGTAAAGGGAAGAGTTGGGAAGTCTGGCAGACAGGGACTTAGCATAGTCAACGCTACCAACTGAGTCAAACTGACTTGCAATCATTGTAGTCCTGAAAGAATCACATGTGAAATCATGACGGATGGCAACACAGACACAATAGTCTACTGGTATGACAGTATATCTAGAGGATAATTGAACCGAGGTACTATTAAAGGTGCATTTTATTTAAAAAAGTATATTCTGTTGATTGCACACTACTGTACGAGTTTGTCTGCCTCTCCATTGCCAACACTAAGATAAACCGTATAACAAACAACATACTTTTTTTGGAAAAGTACTCTCTCTGAATGCAACATTTGATGGCGTGCTTGGTAACACCAACAACTTGCATTTATATTGCGTCCCTTCACACGGGCCAACATCTCAGAACGCTTATGTAACACACACACATATTATTCAAATGTTCAAATATATTATGTGGGCGTTTTGTGTGGCATTAATCCCCTGCTGAGGGTGAAAATTGAGGCTGCCTTGAAGAATTTCTCTATACTCTCTGAAATGTTAAAAACATTTGGGCCACAATTACTGAATGGCAGAGGAAATAATAAAAGTATTTCACCCACAAAATACACAGCCAATCCACTTTACCATATATTCTGTGAAGCGCTTTGAGTCCTCTCAACGAAGGGATAAGGCTCTACATCAAATGCAAAGATGATTATCATTTCACGTACTCATAATATGAATAATAATCCTTGCATTTGATATAGCGATATCCAGACATTTATAACATGTTGTATGCAGCACGTTTCAACTTTGTGATTGTCTTCCACACCTAAACCCTGCTCTCTCTATCCAATAAAGACCTCACAATCTACAGAAAATCCACCGATGGCTGGCTGGCTGACTGCTTGCCTCTGTTGCAAATCCGATTGTTGTGTGGCGTTAATCCCCTGCTTCAATCTGCATTCACAGGCAAATCGCGTCCCCATCCCTTTGCACAGATTTGCTTGTGTAACACAGAGAGCATCAGTGACCAGATACTTTATTTGCCCGTAGAGAAAGGGAGAGGGACAGATAAAATCTTTCCACTATCTGGATAGAGAAGAAACTGCAATGTAGTGGGGGAGAGGGTGGTGTGTGGGGGGGGGGGATTTTTGCTGAATATCCCAACCAACATCTGAAGATTAAATGCAGCTTCAAAGGGATTCTATCGTTGACACATTGGGCTGCCGCGCTGCCAGAATGAGTGTGAAGTGTCCAGGATCGTTTAGGCACGAGGTGTCCTCGCTTCCCTGACACGCCAACGCCACAAAAACCCTGGCTGTTCTCTCTTTAAGAGACATCACCCTGAACCATGCTGGCTATCCCCTGCCTCACCCTCTGCCTCTTTGCTCTGAGAGTGAGAGCAGAACTCCCGTTCGTGCCAGACAACAACGCAGCCATGATTGTCAACTGGTAAGTCAACGTGCTATTCCTACTCTTTTATTGCCTGTCTGTCTCTCCCCTTTCTTACACGTGTGAAATACTCTTATCTTGGGATCGACCTGGTTGCAAATGACTCATCAACAACAACAACAACAACTTGGATTTATACAGCGCCCTCTGTGCTGGACGGCAAAGAAGGACATGAGGACATGCAAAGAACTGATTTATTTTGATCAGGGAAACTGGTTTGACAGTACCCATCACCCTATTCCTTTTTCTCTTGTACGCATCCGTAAAAAGTATTTATTTCCACTTCAGCCACGTTTTCATCTTAAACCTTTGAGCTTCATCCCTTAATCCCTTCAACGAAATAATAATAATAATTTGCTCATTCAATCCGCGACTGCTGTGCGTAATTGGCTGCAATATTCTGTGAAGCGCCTTGAGGTGTCTCGAAGACACGATAAGGCACTATATCAAAAGCAAATTATTATTCATATTATTAGTATGTCCCCCACCCATCTTAACTGCTCTAAGGTTAAAAACAAAATCGGTTTGAGAGTAAAATAATCAAGAAATTGGTACAAGTGGAACCAAGATGATGCGATTGGAAGGGGTGGGAGGTAACTCATTCCCTCCCGACTTCTACTTTAATTTATCGGACTCGTTTAAAATTTAGCCCAGCAAAGGCGCTCTGCTGTGCCAGCTCATCCGATTAACTAGGAACCCCCTTATCTGAGTCAGGGAAGCCGACACTAATACCAACCTTTGTAATAAACCGGTAACCGGACATTACTACTGAGAAGTGGACCCTGTCCAGCACCTTGGGATGTCCTCCTGACATAAAAGAGTTGCATATTGTGTTGTTGTAAAGAGAATTCTTCTCCATGTCCCCAACACAATTTTAACATCTACAATTTTAAAAATAATAAAAACAATAATCCTAACATTTGATACAGCGCCTCATCCACGTCATTGAGATGTCTCCAAGCGCTTCACAGAATATACTGTAAAGTGGATTGACTGTGTATTTTGTGGGTGAAACACGGCAGCCAATTGTCATAGCAATGGACCACAATCATGGAATGAGTGACCACATTTTATTTCTTTTACCTTCTCAAGACCTTCCCCTATGACCAAGACTGCAGCCGTCCTCCCACCCCCACCAGGTTTACCCTCCACACCCCTTGCTTCCAACCCCCAGCTCGGGTGCAAACCCTTGACTGTCCAGTGCTTTGGGATGTCCTCCCGATGTGCAAGGCGCTGTATAAAAACAATTTGTTGCTGTTGTTTAGTGCAGAGGCTGCTGAATTTATCGGTGAGGAGGGAAAAAGGCAAATGCAGGAGAAATCCGAAGCTAAAATTGGATTACTGTGCGCAAGAATTGAAATTGAAATTCCCTTTTGTGCAACACGGAAACTGCATGTATTGGTGTCTCTCAGTGTATATTAATATTTGCCAACTTCCCACGGAAGATTAGTACATTTGAGTGGTCAGGTGCTGCTTTGACGTTAGAGCGCTTTGAATGGCTTGATTTAACTGCAGTTGTGGTTAACGGTAATAGCAAACGCAGATAGCAAGATGGTAACAGGTTCCCCCTGCGCCCAACTCCCCCAACCACGAAGAACTAATAGAGCCACACACTTACTGCAATCCCACCAGATGAGTTTGGATCTGTAATGGTGCCACAATGCAATTCTGCCATTTGATGTTGGTGTTTCATTTAAACGACGTGTATTTAAACGCGGGACAATTCGTAGTGTGGGAAGATAGCATTTTGCAGGAGACAATTGGTCTCTGTGAAATGCTGTGACTTTCCGACGATGCGATAAGGCTCTATTTCAAGTGATTGTTATTAATATATGCAATGCAGGTGGCACTGAGCTTGCAGTTTTATTTTAACAGGTTTTATTGTGTGTTTAAGTCCTTTTTACTTGCTGAAATTTGTTGGCACTTGGCAGCTCCAATTTTTTTACCCTCCCCTTGGTGTTTGGTAAACTTTTTTATAGATGTATATATTTTTAAAAAAAGCCATTTGAGATTGTCACACAGAGCGATTGCTTTCTTTCAAAAAGTGTAATTGTTTGTGCGACACTGCTGTGCGCAATTGGCTGCCGCGTTTCGCCCACAAAAGTAAAGTCAATTTACTTTACAATATATTCTGTGAAGCTGTTTGAGACGACTCAACGACGTGATAAGGAGAAATCAAATGTAAGGATTATTAATATTATTATAATTGCGCGTGGCATTGAACTGGCAGATGGAAAGGGTTTATTTCCACATATATCTATTTCTGCAACCGTTTTTTTGGGGTGGGGGGGGGGGGGCGGCGGGTTGATATATTTAGATACAGTAATTTTACTTATTGATTTATTTTTTCTTTTAAAATGAAAATTAAAAAAAGGACCGCTTTTAAATTTGAGCTGAACAATTCTTTGCCGGGAAAGAAAGGGACACGTGTTTTGTCAGGTCGGCTGGTTTCACCGTGACAGAAAAAAAATACCAAAGCTGGTTGCAAATGCAGAAAGAAAAGAAAAGAGAGAAAAAAAACACATGTCCTGCTATCTGTCTGGTCATCAATTAGAGGTGCGTCTCCCTATACACTCCAATTAGAGGTGCGCTCCCACTGTGTCATCGCCTCGGCCCACGTGACCCAATGGGGTCGGTTCCGCTCAGCCGGGTGGGGGGGGCGGAGAGAGCAGGAGGACCCGGCGCATGCCCCCTATTCCGGGATGAGACCGGGAGCAGCCGGCGGTGCCTGTCAATCAAAGCTCCCACCCCGGAACTGTCAATCAAGCGCGTCCCCCCCCCCTTGAGCCCACGTGGGGTTTGCACCGTCCCTGCAGAGGTCACTGCAGGCAGCTTACATAAAAGGCTTTGGCTTCACGTCAAAGGGTGGGCTTGTGCATTTTTGCAACGAAAAAACATATTAATTAAAATAAAATAAGGACACCCATCACCCTCACCACCCCCCCCCCCCCAAAAAAAAGTAGCGTTTGATTTTTTCTAATTTAGTCTTGTTTTGGGATTGCTGCAGCTTTCCTGCAAAATGTTCACAGTGGCTTAGCTCAATCAAAGCAAAGCAAAGCCTTTTTATGTATATATTCTCTCTCTCTATATATATATATGTAAAACCAAAAATGCTAACATTTTATATGAGTGATAAAAATAGTGCATTTACACACTTAGATTTTGTCCACGTGTTGTGAATGGTGTATTAACATGTACACATATTTTTGTATGTGTATATACTGTATAATATTTTTGCTGCAAAATATAGTCAACTCACTTATTCTGTAAAGTTCTTTGAGACATCTCAACGACGTGATACGGGCGCTGTATCAATAATAATATTAATCCTACAGAATATACTGCAAAGGGAGTTGGCTATATTTTATGGACAAAACGTCATGTATGTACAATAATTATTATTCAAATCCGAGGATTATTATTATTTGAACAGTACATATGTATGTATATGTATATATTATTTGCTGTCTATCTATATGCCAAATGTTCCCATTAATTACATGCGATAGCTTTTTTTTCATACGTTTTAAAATGCAAAAAGGTTAAAATATCTTGAAAAAGGGGGTAGGACATGCAGTTTAATAAAACCGCCCCGTTGTAAAGCACCATTTTTGCTGAATAACAAAATGTGAGCCAAAGAGCAGACCTGTGCTGGACCTGATAATTTCCGTGCCCATGGTGTGCCCCAGCAAATCGTACTGATTGAGACGGGAGCCATCCTCCGCCACCTCCACCGAGGAGGTGCCTCCGTGCGTCCACTTGTAAACCACCTCAGATTTGGGATAGGCATCTGTTGGGAGGGAGGCAGAGATTAGAGGGGTTAATGATGATCCCTGGCCCCGACCAGTGGAGCACGGTGCAGCTGGCACTGTCGCTGGGATACTTTCCCGAGACGGAAATAAAGCAATTTAAATCTAATTTGCAGCCTAATGCCTTAATGCGTTTACAGCACCTGAGTGCTAACCGTTACGTGGCTTGACGTCCTTCCCTTTTGTGCTTTTGAGGGTAGACTTGTAACGTTTGCAGGTGAATGTGAATTGTATTCGCATTTGTTCACTAGTTTTCACGGGGAGGAGGGGGAGAGGGAGGGCTTGAGTGAGAGGATTGTTTTTTTCTGGCCACGATATGAGGAAGTATCTTTGATATCCTTTTATGTCGTTTTTCATCAACACAGCCCGTGGTGACAGATGGGTTTATCCAGCCCGTCGGTTCTGAGATCAGTGAAGATGTGGATCGTGGATAGTATTTGTTAATCTCCCTCTCCTTCCCTTTAAACTTATTGTGTCCGTTTATTCTCTCACTTGTAAGTCACTTCATGCCTTGGTAACCCCGCCTCACCTCTCCGACCTGCTCACACCCCACTTCCTCTATCTGCCCCCTTCAATCAGCTGGCTCCGGCTTCCTGCAAGTCCATCCCTCCACCACCGGCAGCCGTGCTTTCAGTCACCATGTTCCGAGACTCTGGAACTCTGCCTCAATCCCTCCACCTTGCCTCCTCCTTACCTGTTTTCACATCACACCTGAGGATCTTCCTCTTTGACCGTGCCTACAGTCACCTCCCCTCTCTCGCTGGCTCAACATCAGGCGAAATTAGAATGATAGCAATTTACAGCACAGAAGAAGGCCATTCGGCCCATGGAGTCTGGACCGGTTCTCAAAGCGAACTGTACTATCAATCACGATGCCCTACCTTCCCGTACACGTTCAAGCCTCTATCCTTCATGCACTTGTCTTGTAATATACTATATTTCTAAATTATTGAGATGAGTTCAGACTGGAAGACAATGCTAATAAAAGAGAGAAATTAACAATTGCCCATTAATTTTCAATGCAAAACCAAAAACAGAGGAGCGATTCCCTCTTCTCCCTCAGTTATAAATAGTGATTAACTACTGCTATCAAAGTACATGTTTGTGCTGTAACACCTCATCCCAGGCAGCAAGAGATAATCTTGTGAATATACAGGGGGATTAAGAGTTTAATGCAACATCATTAATCTTTTAGCTGCTTTCAACCACAGGGTCTAAGTCTGCTTTATGTAACATACTGTCTGAGAATGACTTTGCCCAATGAAACAAAAATAAAATGAAGCTTGATTGTTAAGTCTGCAAGAATATACAGCGTTTGTTGAAGTTCCACAATTGTACCTTAAATGGGAGGTGTTATAGGTGGAAAGTAAAATACACAAAAAGCAGATAAAACATCATTTACAGTGAGCAAAAATACATTTGAAAACAGTGGAAATAAAGACTATTTCTTCTGCGGGCATCATCATGCACGATTGGCTGCCGCGTTTAGCCCACAAATACACAGTTAATTTGCATTACGGTATATTCTGTGAACCGCTTTGAGACTTCTCAACGACGTGATAAGGCGCTATATGAATTGCAAGGATTATTATTATACACAAAACACAAATGCACATTGGTAGACTGCGAAGGTGAACATGATAGGTTACAGGAGGACTTGAACAAACTTGGAAATTGAGCAGATCGATGGCAGATTTGATAACAACTTTTAAGAGAGAAGTAGATAATTATTTGGGAAGGACAAGTTTGCAGTGCTATGGGGGAAGCGCGGGGGAGTGGGATTTAAATTGGATAGCTATTTTCAAAGAGCCGGCACAGACATGAAGGGCTGAATGGCCTCCTTCAGTGCTGTGTGATTCTATGATTGTACTGAACAGTAGAACCAGAGGACATGGCCCGCGATTGAAAGGGGTTAAATTCTGAACAAATCTGCGGGAACACTACTTCAGGGACCGTTTGTGAGACACTGCTGAGTGAAAATTGGCTGCTGAGTTCGACAACACTTTACAGTAAATCCCTTGAGGTGCTTTGAGACGTCTTCCCGATGTGAAAGACGCTCTGCCAAAAGCCAGGACTATTTTTATTCCAATTTAAAAGGGAAGTGGGTGAGTACAACGACAATTAACATTTACAAAGCGTCTTTCACAACATGAGAACGTGCTAAAGAGTTTCATATAGATAATAATAATTCTTGCACTTGATGACTGGAAACTCAAACTGGGGGTGAGGAAGGGAAGAGGGATTTGCAGAGAAACAAGAATATGGAGAGAAACAAGGTAATCAGGAATTAAATAGATAGCAGAGTAGCCAACTTGGGCTCCTGAAAAAAATTGAGAACTGGCTGCGTTACACATATCAGGCATCATTCCATGGCACAGTGTATTAGTGCATAACACTGACACATCAATAGTCCACCTTGTACCAAACTGATAACGTGCAGAAAATGCTCGATCAATGGGGAGAAATTCGACTTGGATCTGGATTTGCTCTTATTTTCTTAAATGTTTCTGAGAACTGCATATTTGTCAAATTGTTGAATTCAACCTAACATTCGAAGATAGTTTTCTGTTGGATCTCACAAGGAAGGTACTAAAAAATGAGTTGAAAACTAAGGCCACCTTTAAGAATTCTGCACTCTCTGAAATATTAAAAACATTGGAGCCACAATTATATTGGGTGACGGAGGAAATAATCATTGAATCATAGAATATTACAGCACAGAAGGAGACCATTCATCCCATCGTGCCTTTCTCGGCTCTTTGGAAGAGCTACTCAATTAGTCCCACTCCCCCATTCGTTCCTTGAAAATTCAAGTACCTATCCAATTCCCTTTTGAAAATTGTTACTGAATCTGTTTCCACTTCTCTTTCAGGCAGAGCATTCCATAATAAAAGTATTTTGTTCACAAAATACACAGACGATCCAATTTTTTGTGCTTTGAGATGTCTCAACGATGTGATATCTTCGAGACATCTCAAAGTGCTTCACAGAATATACTGCAAAAAGAATTGACTACATGTTTTGTGGGTGAAATTGCACACAGCAGTGTCTCACAAACAGTCGTGGATTGAGTGACCAAATTATTAATATTATTTTTTTAAAATGTTTTATTTGCAATAATTCTGGTTACGATTATTAATCTTTCAATACAAACATGGTTCGGCAGAACAAAAGTGCCCAGGTGTTAGCGATGGCAATGGTTCCTTCCCAATCTTAAGTATAGTGACTGTTTTACAAGATTGGTTCGGATGAAGAAGACCCTTCGACCATCCGATCCTATCCCTCGAGAACTCCCACCCTATGCACCCACCCCATCACAGCATCAAGCTCCTTTTTAAATGAGTCCAGCGTCCTGGCCTCTATCACCTTTTCTGGCAATCTGTTCCAATCATTTATTACCCTCTGAGTAAAGAAAAACTGGTGTCTGTCCTGAAATTACCTTTTGCAACTCCAAACCTATGTCTTCTTGTTCTACAGTCTTCTACCACCCGTGGAAGAAGATCTCCCCGCAATGCCTCTCAGCTGCCCTGGAGGCCTCTGATCTCCTCCCCCTCTGGCCCACCTCTCGCAACAACCCACTCGCTGCCCTCATTCTTCTCCATAGTACCCTCTCCAGCACACTCGACGCCCTTGCCCCCCTTACCTCCCGAACTACCTCCTATTCCGGATCCTCACCCTGGTTCACCAGCCACCTCCACTTGCTTAAAGGCCAGGTGCTGTCTGCTGACCGCACTTGGCTCAAATCCAGCCTAACGGTCCACTGCCACAACTGGCTGGACCTCATAAAGAACTACTGCTCTGCTCTCGCCTCAGCCAAATCATCCTTCTATTCCAGGTTAATCGTGGAGGCGAAAGGCAATCCCAGGCTCCTGTTCTCCACCACTAACCGGCTCCTCCGCCCTCCCCGACACACATCGCAAATATTTTCCTCCGACTCTCACTGTGAGAAAATGCTGGACTTTACTCTACCTCTTTGCCTCCACCCTGAACTCCAGGACAACTGGCGTCCTGACCAACTGCCTGTCCGACATCAAGGCCTGGATGAGGGCCAACTTTCTCCAACTCAACGTCAGTAAGACAGAGACCCTCCTGATTGGCTCGCGCCAGCGCCTCCACACCTCGGCCGCTGGCAGCATCAGCCTCCACGGCTGCACACTCAACCTCACTAAGCCAATCAGGAACCTGGGTGTCTTGTTTGACCCTGAACTGTCCTTTCTCCCCCACATCCGCGCCATGACCGGCACTGCCTACCACCACCTCCGCAACATTGCCAGACTCCGCCACTGCCTCACCCCTCAGGCTGCCGAAACCCTCACCCACGCATTCGTTACCTCAAGGCTCGACTACAGGAACTCCCTCCTCATCGGCCTTCCCAACTCTTCCCTTCACAAGCTGCAAATCATCCAAAACTCTGCAGCTCGTGTACTCTCACGCACCAGGCTCCGCGACCCCATCACTCCCACCCTCACCCGACTCCACTGGCTCCCCATCCCCCAGAGGATCGAGTTCAAGATCCTTGTCCTCACCTTTAAGGCCATCCATGGCCTTGTCCCCTCCTACCAACCTGCCCACTCCCTCCATTCATTGGGCTCCGGTCTGCTCCATGTCTCCCGCCCGACCCGCCCTACCATCGGTGGCCGGGCTTTCAGCCTCTCTGTCCCCACACTCTGGAACTCCATCCCACAGTCCCTTCACCTCACTTCCTCCCTCGCCTCCTTCAAGGTCGGTCTCAAGACCCTTCTCTTCGATCGTGCCTTCGGTTGCCCTCCCACCTCTCTGCCTTCCCGCACCCCTATACCACCCCTCCCCCACGCTCGGGCCCCGACACCTGACTGTTCAGCGGTTTGGGACGTCTTCCCGACATGAAGGGCGCTCTATAAATGTAATTTTGTTGTTGCTGTATTCCCAAGTATCGATCTGTTTGGCAGGTAAACATAGCAGCCATTTGCAGCAGCAAGATCCCATTATCATCGACATACAA